GGGACCGAGGACCCGGTGTTCAGTGGGTGCAGGGTTTAGGGTCCGCAGGATGTTTAGGTTGAAAAATCCTTGGGGTATGTTTCACAACACCAGGAAGCTACCAGGCACTGAAGTGTACATTTCAGAATGAGAAAGACAGTCGATTTTGTGTTGTTAATATTTTTTTTGCCACAGTAAGAAAGTAGCACTGGGCCATCAAAAATTGGAAATAAGCATACTTCTAAAAACACGTGGCCTGCTCTTGGATTCTACCTCACGGTAGTCCTGAAATCTATGGTTTTACTCACTCTAATGAAAATTAAACATTGACGCATTCAGAAAACAGACGTGATCTTTCCTAAAGGAAACACCGGGTGCCCGGATAGACATTTCTTTGTCCTTCCTGGTGATTAGCACATTTCCACCATGTTCACTGATGCGAGCCCCCCCCGCCCCCTGCCCCGTGTGGCCTACCTGCCAGGCTGCTGTAACAGCCGTGTTCCCCAGGTCTCCCCATGGACCTCAGTGCGCCTGCTCTCCATTTATTTGCACAATTCCTCCTTCTCCACAAAACGCCATCATTATTGAAGCCCCCACCCTACGAGGCAGAATTTGGGTTAGAGAGACTAATAAGATCCTGTCCTCCACTGGGGGACCCTAAATCCAGTGCAGGAGGGAAGCGTAACCCAAACAGCAAATAGGGCAATGTGGGACCCTCCGGACTCTACGGAGATGCACGGCGGGTGTCGGCTAAGTCCACGGAGTCGGGAAGGCCTGGGACTGGGGACGGAGCTTGAGGAGTGAGCTGGATGGAGGTCCATTAGGTGGAACCAGGGAAAGGAGTCATCCCAGCAAAGGGGGGAACGTGGCCCGTTTGGGGAAAGTGGGTAAATTGTAGGGACAGGTACTAGCCACCCCTGCCAGCAGCGCTGCTGGGACAAGCCACTCTATTCCGGTGGGGGCTTTGCCTGGTGACAAAGGCTCCTTTCTGTGTCCTCTGTGCCCAGACAAGGCCCTGCACCCATGGCCTCTTCCTTCCGGGATCTGGCTGAAGGCGAGCTGGATGCACATCAACAGTAGCACCTCTTGATGGCCCTTGAAGCCTCTCTCAGGAGTGGCTGGTGTCCCTTGGGTGCGAGTATAAGCCCCCAGCAGGGCAGGGACCCGAGGCAGTCTACCCCACTGCTACCAGAGCGGGGGAGGCCAGGGAGGGCGGGCAGGGGAGGAGGTGTGGGCGTGCGAGAGGTTTCAGCTCTGCAGCTGTGGGCCCGCAGGCTTCCGCAGGGAGGCCAGGTTTATGTGTGACTCTGACTTGTCACGCACAGAGCGGATGCACGTGGCCTTCTGTGTCCCCGTGTCGCCCCGCCAGGCCTTAGCCGCTGCCCTAACACTGCAGAGAGCAGATTGGAGGGGGCGGGTGGAGGTCCACCCTCACAGAGCACACACACGGCAGGGGACCCAGGCCTGGTCCAACTGGTGACTATGGGGACACGGCAGGTCAGCCACTGTGGGAAAACCCAGAAAAATAAAACTGACGAGGGCCCCTGCTCCCCACACCTGTCCTTGTCCCGTCTCCGCCAGCCCCTGTCACTGCTGGCTGCCGTCCTGGGGCGAGTGGGGCCTGCCAGGTGGTCTGTGAGCCGTGCCCCTGGGCACGTGGCCCAGGGCTGTGGTGTCTGGAGTCCTCTGTGCCGACCGTAGCCTTCCTCCCCTGGGAGGGACCGTCCGGGCATCTGCCTTGCAGGTGTGGTAGCTCCGGCCCATTCGGCTGGCTGTCCCCTTGCTGGTACAAGTCACTGGGCGGACTGATGCATCCTCTGGGGCCCTAGCTGAAGACTCACTCTTCCTCCAGTGAGGAACTTCGGGGTTGATTGTTGCGAAGCAATTTTGGAACTTAACCGGTGTGTAAGTAAACGTGTTCTGCTAGAGAGAAACCCTCGGTTGGAATTCATGCTCTCATGCTCCACCAGGCTCTCAGCAGGCCGCGGGCATCCTTGGCCCTCCGCTGCACGAAGCAGGTGCTGGGCAGCCAGTCTCAGCCGCGCACGCATGGGGGAGGGGGCCTTCCTCCCAGAAAACTCTGGAAACTGGTCTGAGCAGAGCAGCAAGCACTCTGGGGAGGCGCTCCCTCTCTGTCCACTGGAGGCTGTGCGAGCTCAGCGGAGACCTGCGGGGTTTTAAGGAACATCACTGCATTAACAGCCAACGGGATATGGGAATGGGTAGGAAGCCAGCAGCCAGGACAAGCGGACTAGCAACTGTGTGGCGGGAGGACGGCTGGCTTGACTGGCTGGAGAGCCCCTGGATGGAGGGAACGGGTGACCCTGGTGTGGACAGGGAGGGCTCACGGGACCTGTGGCAGTTGTGCTGTGATCTGAAGTCTGTGCCCCTTCCCCATTACCATGGCTGGAAGCTGGGCGCCCAGAGCCCAGATACTTCCTGCCCAACGTTAGGACAGCCTGGGCCGGAGACGTTCAGCTTCACCGGCCCCAGGACAAGGACTCAGCCCTGTAGCAGAGGAGGGGGATGGCGTCCGTGTCTGAGTGCCCTGGCCCTGACCCGCCGCAGCACATCCCTCCTGTAGAGCCCATGGGTCGAGGTAAACGGGGTCCTGTAACATGGGACGCGAAGGAGATCCTCTAAGAGGTCCTCGTCCTTTGCTGGCTGTGGCCATGCCCCTTGCATCCCATTCCCAGAACCTTGGAGGGCACCAGACTCGGTGAGCTGCCGCCATGCACGGGAGCAGCCCTGAGTCACAGGTGAATCCTGCAGAGGCCTGGCTCTGCCTCAGGGGACAGCTCCCTGTGACCTGAGCCCAGGCAGCTGCCCCTGGATGGCAGAGCACGTTAGAACAGTGACTGCCCTTCGGATGAGCCATCTGAGGCAGGGTCCCAGCTGGGGACAGATGTTAGTAAATGGCTTTAAATATGCTCCCCCTCGGTGACACTCCTTCCCAGAACACTGGTGCAGCCTTTGTGCGTTCAGCTTCTACCTGCAGACACCCCGGTGTCACCCCGGCCACCGATGAGCAGGTGAGGGTCACAGAGAGCCCTGCCGTGGTCTCATGGCCACATGAGTGAGCAAAGCACAGCCAGCCTTCCTGTCTCTGCCTTTTCCCCTTCGTATCCAGAAACTCTCGGGGACCTTCCGTGACAATGGCGAACTTCTGGGGCAGCAGTGGCCCCTGTGGCCGATGGATGTGTGCGGCTGGGAAAGCCAGCGGTGATTCCTGTGGTCTTCTCCAGGTGGGTGTGTCTGCCTGACGTGGGGGAACATCTCCAGCAAGCTGCTGGTGGGTCAGGCGGCCCTGGGGCTTGGGGGTGAGCCGTATTTCCAGCTGCTAGTCCTTTGGATGCTGCTTAGCCGGTTTGAAAGTGTAATATGAATTGGATCCTCACTAACAGAAAATGTGCACCGCATTTTTGATGTCTGCAAGAGCATCCCCGCTCACCCGTCCCCTTTGATTTGTAGCTGACCCTATAAAGGAGCTCATTTGTGGTCACTTTGCCGGGAGCAGCGTGAACTCGGGACAACGATGGCTCCCCAGGCTCCTGGTGGTTGCCGCCAGTGTGCCCTTGGTCACTGTGCTGGCGGGTGCGAACCCTCTCCTGCACCCCGTCTGCAATGCACGGGGCCACCCTGCACTAACCCACCTGGATGAGGGAGCCCTCAGCCTCACGGGGACCCTTTATTCTCCAGCTTCCTGACCGTGCAGAGACCAGTGCTGACTGACGGCAACCTAGACCCCGTCACAACCCCTTACTCATTCACCTCTTAAATTCCAGTGCACCTGTCCCACAGTGGGCTCCCGCAGCGTGAGCACGCAGATCCCCTCCTGCCCCCCGGGACGGCAGCGCTCTGCAGAGGACGTGGCCCCGGTGCAGCTTCCAGGGACTGAGGTCACGGCGGCCACCGTTACGATGGGGGCCCCCATCTGGGTGGCTGCGTCCGTTCAGACCCACACTCCAACCGCACCTTTTCCCACCTTACCAGGAAGGTAGGGTGAGGGTGGCGGGGAGGCCTGCATCCTCCCTAGACCCCGATTCTGGAGGCACGCCCTGTGAGCTGGCAACTTCACTGTCTCCCTGTTCACCTAGTGGTGGTTGCATTTGTGGCCAGTTCAGCCCCAGCGCCCTGGACCACACAGCTGGCCACTGTTTTCCCCACAAGAGCCCACGTTACTGGGTGGGCTTTGTATTTCGGATCGGGCACATGCCCATCCAGACTGGAGCTGTGAATGATTGCGTGCTCCTAGTAGACAGGCAGGGCGCTCACAGCAGGAAGGGCCACCGGTGGAAAGGCTGGTGCCCAGCCCACGTTGGGCATTTTCACAGAACTATCAGGTAGTGACTTTCAGGGAGCATACCTTGTAGGGCCCTTACTTCAGCGATGAGGGAGAGCATTTGCATCGTGGCTGGGATTGATGTAGCCGGAGCAGGGGCTCTCAGATTGTAGGTGCCCTCAGCGTCCCCTCGGGCTTGCAGGCCCACGCGGGGCTTCTGACTCCACGTACCTTGCATTTCTCACCAGTGCCTGCTGATGCTGGCGCCACTGGGCCCGGGACCCCACTTTGGGAGCCAGGGAAAGTAAGCCCTGCCATCAGGTTCCACAAAGCTTGCTCCCCTCCGGTCTCCGTCCCTCCCGGTTGGACTGTTGTGTTCTCTGAAGCTGTCCCTCCTCTCTCCCCACAGCTCCCTCGGCCACAATGGCTCAGCATCCTGGCCTTGTCCCAAGCAGCTCTGTCCCCTCGCTCAGTGTCACCCTGGAGCCATCTCCGTGCAAGTTCCTGCTGACACAGTGGATCCCGCCGTCCATGGCTTCCCAGACACGGACGCTCAGGCGCTTCCGAGTCTGGGCTTCCAGGTCCAGGTGGCTTCCCAAGCAGCTCTGTGTCTGGTGATGGATTTCGGGGACAGCTCTGGGGTTCAAGTGGCGATCCGCAATGTGACCGGAGGAATGGCGGTCACCGCCTACCACCAGTTCGGGAAAGGTAGGGTGCTCGGTGTCAGGATGTGAACCCAGGCAGGGAGTGCAGGTATGGCAAGACCCCAGAGATGGCGCTGGCCACACTGGGGCCAAAAGGAGACCCCACTCCTCCTGGCACCCCCTGGCCCTAACCGCCCCCCCGTCCCGTGCCTGCCGTGTTCTGGTAACGAAGGCCCAGGAGCCTGCACTCTGCCTGCTGCCATACACTGTTCCTCACTGAATCCCGCCATCGGCCCTGTTCTCCATTTGGAGGAGCACGGGAAGGCCAGAAGGGGCAGGGATTTGTCCTGAGGTCACACACCTAGTGAGCCACGTGACCCCCTCCACAGGGAAAGCTCTGAGCTTTGGTGTGAATCTCTGACACTGTCCTCTGGGTACACACACACACACACACAACGTTGCACGTTTCATCTTCTGCACTAAATTGTCAAACACTTTGCATTTAGACAAAGTCACAAAAACCATTTTTCTCCAGACGTCTTGGTGCTGGAACCAGTCTTCATGGAGAAGCCCCGAGCGCTGACGTTGGGGGGTGGGAGCGGGTGAATTCCAGCCTTGTCCTGCTCACCAGCACCATGTCACTGTTTGCTCTCTTTATTTTTTTAAATCATTTTTTGAATATGGTACATTCTCGAAGTTCAAACCCCCACCTATAGGGAGGCATGTAGTCGTGGGTGCCTCCTCTCAGGCGACACTGCTCCTCTGTCTCTGAGATGTCTCATGCGTGTGCAGTACAACTATGATCTTTCTGTCTGGAACACAGACACGTGCACCACGCGGAGCCCCGCTTCCTGTCACTCACATGCTCGCTCATGTGCTCGGTCTGCATCCAGAGCTCTTCCCACACGTGCCTTGTGGGGGCAGAGGGGTCCAATAGTGCAGTACCCCAAATCTGTCTCACCATTCTTTTATGGGTAGACCTTGAGATTGTTTCCTAATCTTTCAATATTGCACATAACGTGCAGCCACTAAACGCATGTATGTGCTATTTCATAGAAAAGGGAAATTACTGCCTCAAATGCTACGTACATTTGTAATTTGCTGGTTGTTGCTAAATTGCTCCCAAGAAGGATTGGCTGGTTTATAGTCCCTGGAGCAGTGTAGACATCAGTGTAAAAGGTGAAAACGTATCTTTCTGCGGTTTTAATTTGCCTCTTACTAGGCTCAATCCTGCAAAAGTGCCAACATTTGCCGTATTTTACCAAGAAGAAGAGTACTTTCGTGGTTCAACCTGATATGCTGGGGTTTTTTTGTTTTTTTTTTTTAAGATTTTATTTATTTACTTGACAGAGAGATAGAGAGCACAAGTAGGCAGAGAGGCAGACAGAGGGAGAAGGAGAAGCAGGCTCCCCGCTGAGCAGGGAGCCCGACGCAGGGCCCGATCCCAGGACCCTGGGATCATGACCTGAGCTAAAGGCAGCCGCTGAACCGACTGAGCCACCCAGGCACCCCTGATATGCTGTTTGTATGAGCATTTTTAGTAATTATGAAAATTTGTCCTTTTCATCAGATATAAGCTGCAATGAATGTTTTTCTCATTTGTCATTTGTGTTTGTGCTTTGCTTATAGCTTTTTTCCCTTTCATGCAGCAATTTTAATTTTTAAGTATACTTTCTCTTTTCTGATATGGTTTCTGGGTTTTATGTCATAGAGAGAAATCCCTTCCTTAATCCAAGTTTGCAAAATAATTCTATCGTGGTATCTTGCAGTATTTGTATGATTCTGTTCCACACAGTTGAATATTTAGTACGTTGGAGTGTGCATTCTGATGACGAGTCTGAGGGGGCAGATTGCATTTTATTTTTCTCTGAATGGCCACCCCTGGGTGCTGCTGGCCCTGCCCCCAGGGATCTGGAGAGCGCCAGCCTCCACTGGCCACCCCCAGCCTCCGCCAGCCACCCTCAGCCCTCCCTCCCCACCCCTGCTTGTGGGTTGGGTTCTGCTGTCCATGCAGCTGGGCTCCCCGTCATTACTCATCTTTTCTAAAATTATTTTGGTTATTTTCACTTGTCCGTTTTTCCACGTGGACTTTAGACTCCCACTGGTTCACGTAAAAACATCTTATTGGCATTTTTATTCGAATAACGTTAAATTCATGAATTGATTTCTGCAGACTATTTATACTCAAGAATCTCCCTCCTCATGAAAATACCTTTCTCTGTCCAAGTGTTCCTTGGGTCTCTGGAAGCATTTAAAGATGTCTTCATATGGAAAGTGCACATTTCTCAGAGGACGTTTTATTTTTCATGCTGGGGTGTATGAGATCTTTTCTTTCATTTTCTTTTCGAGTGAGTTGTCATTGGATGTAGAAGAGCTGCTGGTATTAACTATTAATTTTGTACCGCTCTCTCGCTCTGAATTATCACATTGTGTGTAGTTACCATGAAGCTTACTCCTTAGTGTTTGTCAGTTATATGAACGGTATTTACAGATGGGTAGACGCCATCCCTGCACCTCCAAGCTGACACCTGTCCTGCCCTTGTCTCACTCAGCTTGGCTGCTCCTTCCAGAACAAGGTGGGTGAGGACAGATGACAGGGGTGTCTTTGTCTCAAGATGCTTTCGGTGTTGCCCATTAAACTTGGTACCAGATTGGGAGCTGATAGAGCTTCTCGAATGTTGAGGAGCTTCTCATCTTGGGCCCACGTCCTTCTGATCGAGGCCCAGAAAAAATAAAAATAAAAATAAATAAATAAATAAATAAATAAATAAAGGAGCTTCTCATCTTTCCTCCTTTATCAGGACTTTTTTTATTTTTTATTTTTTTTTATTTTAAGTTCTAGTTAGCATACAGTGTAATATTACTTCAGGTGTACATTATAGCAATTCAGCACTTCCCTACATCACCCGGTGCTCATCACGACAGGTGCACTCCTTCATCCCCATCACCTGTTTCCCCATCCGCCACCCACCTTCCCCTCTGGTGACCAGCAGTGTGTTCTCTAGAATTCAGAGTCAAGTTTCTTGGTTTGTCTCTCTCTCTCTCTCTCTCTCTCTCTTTTTTTTCCCTTTGCTTGTTTGTTTTGTTTCTTAAATTCCACATATGAGTGAAATCATCTGGTATTTGTCTTTCTCTGACTGATTATTTTGCTCAGCATTATACTTTCTAGCTCCATCCACATCATTGCAAATGACAAGATTTTATGCTTTTCGATGGCTAATATGCCATTGTGTATGTATAACCACATCTTCTTTATCCATGCATGAGTCGATGGACATTTGGGCTTTTCCCATAGTTTGGCTATTGTTGATAATGCTGCTATAAATATCGGGGTGCATGTGTCACTTTGAATCAGTATTTTTGTATCCTTTGGGTAAATACCTCTTAGTGCAATTGCTGGATCGTGTAGTTCTATTTTTAATTTTTTGAGGAAACTCCATACTGTTGTCCAGAGTGGCTGCACTAGGTTGCATTCCCACCAACAGTGTAAGAGGGTTCCTATCAAGGACTTTTTAATTTTTTAAATTTTTAATTTTTAAAAGATTTTATTTACTTTAGACACAGAGAGAGAGGGAGCAAATGAGCAGGGGGAGGGCAGAGGGAGAGGGAGAATCTGAATCGGACTCTGTGGTGAGTGTGGAGCCCAATGTGGGGCTTGATCCCAGGGCCCTGAGACCACGACCTGAGCCAAAATCAAGAGTTGTATACTCAGGGGCACCTGGGTGGCTCATTCGGTTGAGCGTCTTCCTTTGGCTCAGGTCATGATCTCAGGGTCCTGGGATGGAGCCCCGCATCGGGCTCCCTGCACAGCGGGGAGCCTGCTTCTCCCTCTCCCTGTGCCCCTGCCCGCTCATGCTCACTCTCTCTCTCTCTCAAATAAATAAATCTTAAAAAATAAAGGAACCAGTCTTTGAATTTCATTGACTACATTCGTCCCCTAAGTTTATTAATTTCTGCTTTTATCTTTACTGCCTACTTCCTGCTCTTATACAATGCTTTTGTTTTAGATTTCCATTTTGAGTTGGATGTCTACATTATTATTTATTATTCAAGTTTTAAAATTGCCACCTGTCGTATGGCCTTTCTCGTGTTCTGGCTTCATTATTAATTCATAGTTCCAGCCCATCATGATGAGTGGATATTTTCTCCCATTTTGCTTAAAAAAAAAATGCCGAGGTTGTCTTTGTGGCTTAAAATGTGGTCGGTGTTAGGAATGAAACGATGACAGCTGGTGGGTTGTGGGGCTGCCATAGCCCCATGCCCCTCGACAGAGCGGGAGTGCTGGCTCCCAGCATCTTCATGTCCCCAGCACCCGCACTCACCCTCTGTCTGGTCCTCGTGATTACATCCCTGCTGGGAATGCGTGTGCGTGTGTGTGCGTGTGAGTGTGTGAGCGTGTGAGGAGGAGGAAGGGGGCCTGGCCTGAGGCAGGATTCGGGGTGTCCTCCCCCTCGGCAGCACCCTGTCTCAGCAGATAGCCCAGCACCTGTCTGGCCCACACCCCTGTGATTGCTGGATCCTAGAGTAAGGGTATATTTAGTTTTAAAGAAACCACCTAATTGTCCCCCAAAGCAGCTACACCATTTTTTTTTAAGTTTATGCATTTATTTAATTTAAGTCATCTCCGCCCCCAACGTGGGGGTCTGACTCACGACCCCGAGATCCAGAGTTGCACGCTCCTCTGACTGAGCCGGCTGGGCGCCCCACAGCTGGGCCGTTCTGCAAACCCACCAGCAGTGAGCGAGCACTCCTGGGACCCCACATGCTGGCCAGCAGTGGGTGTCATCGGGGCTGATCCTGGCCGTCCTCGAGGGGTGTGGTTCCCGCATGCACGGCCTTGACGTGGGACGTGGAGCATCTTGTCATGTGCTACTCTGTCTCACTGTCTCCTTGGGTGACGCGTCTCCGTCCGGAGATCCTCCATCCACTTTTTTTAATCAGGCCGTCTGTTTGCTTATTTGTTGAGTGTTGAGAGTCCTTTGTATGTTTTGGATAGCAGCCTTTATCAGATGCATGTTTTGGAATAGATGTGTTAGGAAGACTCATGGAATAAAATTCCCACTTCTTCCATATCCGAGGTTGTTATATGTGAATGACAACTTGCTGGCTCTTCCGTCCGTGGTCACACATTCTTTTCTCGAGGAACGGAGGTGTTTCTCTGCTCCAGTCTGGCCTGAGTGGGGTTCTTGGACCGACATCATCCGTATCTAATGTCAGGATAAAGTACAGATTCTCCGGCCGCAGACATACAGACTCAGAAATGCAGGGGCTGGATGTTAGTCCTCCGTGCTTTGGGGAGCCATCCGCATGACCCTCCACACTTGCCATGCTATGGGGGCCTCTACGCTCAGCTTCCTGTTTCCTCCGTATGGATGACTTGATGTTTGGCTCAAAGTCATTGTTTATATTTGCGGTCCCGTAACTTTGTGGAAACACATCTCGGTGCTGGCCATTCCAGGTCAACGCTCTCTGGTGCATGGTGTGCCTTTCCAATATGTAAGTATGCTTTGTTTTCCTTCGTTTCAGGAAAGATTTTTGTTTAAGATTTTATTTATTTGAGAGAGAGAGAGAGAGAGCATGAGTGGGGGATGGGGCAGAGGGAAAAGGAGATGCAGGCTTCTGGGACCCTGGGATCATGACCTGAGCCAAAGGCAGATGTTTAACCGACTGAGCCACCCAGGCATCCCCAGGAAAGATTTTTTTTTTTTAACTATGTCTTTAAAACTATTTCTGTGCTGGCATTTCCGCTTTCTTTATGGAAGACGGGCCATGCACGTGCTAGGTCCCTTTGCTTTGCGAACCCTTTCCGCTCACTTCATCTTGCTTACCGCTCTCGCCTTCCCTCCAGATCCCTCCTGTCTTGCCCTCTGGTTTCTGTTTCCCTCCCGCCAGCCGGCTCCGCCCCATGCCTCGTGGCCCAGCCCTCCCTTCATAGAAGGCCAGTGTGTGTGCGTGTGTGTGCGTGTGTGTTTGTGGTCGTCACAACCGCTGCATTCTTTTGCCTCGCTGCGGGGTGGCCGGTGTCTGTTTGCATCCTCGTGAGTATGTTCGACTGCGTCGTTCTCGGGTCCCAGGGCAATGTGAGAATACAGCACCCTCGGTTAACACAAATCACTAAGACGTTCATGACTGCAGAACGTGAAAGCACATGCCAAGCCCTGTCGTGTGTCATGTGCCCTGCACGGGTCCCCTGCCACGAGGCAGCCCCTCCTGCAAGAGAAAGCCACGTGTGCCGGGTCCGTGCCCAGAGCGCTCCCCGCTCATTGCCCTTGCACGGATGTTCCGTGTTGCGCGTGCTTGTCATAGCTCATCACGTGGCCGCTCTTGTGTCTCTTCCCAGAAGGAGTCTATGTGCTCAAGGCACGTATCTACAACGAGTTTTGTGGAACTGAAAAGGAGCTTGGGCCTTACTTTGTGGAGATTGGCGCTGCGACCGTGTCTGTGTTCATGAACTCCAGCAGCATCCACAGGGACGAGCGTCTTGTCTTCGCTGACTCTAGGACAGGTCAGAAGGGTGAGAGACACGAGCGGGTTCCGAAGCCCAGGCCCGCCTCTGCTGGGGATACATCCGGGTCCAACTGCTTCTCCGCTCAGACACGCATTCAGCCTTTACCCTGTGTCCAGGACGCACTGATTGCACAGTACTGTGCTCTGAGGGGCACGTGAAGATGAGGTCCTACAAGTCCTGGTCTCAGGATTTACGGTCTACGAAAGGCATCGAGGTCTGTGTCAGAAGCACAGGGCCTCGATGTGGTGCTGCCTTTCAGAGGGCGTGGCCAGGGCCTGGGACATGTCAGGAGGGAGGGTGTGTCACCGCGGGTAGTTCTAGGGTAGGCGGTGGATCCATCATGGGCCTTGGGGAGGGGTCCAGCGGGTGTGGGGAGAGCATGTGGGGCTGACAGCTGGGCAGGAACTCCAAGCACAGAGATGAGGCCCCATGGGCGCTGGGGATGGATGAGTGCTCACGGGGGGCCAGGCGCTCTGCTTGCACTTTGCTCCCATCAGGCCCAACAGCCACCGGCGAGGGGCTCCCCATCCACTCAACATTGTAGGGGAGGCACCGGGCTTGGGGGCCAGCAGGGTGGGAACGGAGAATCCCAGCCAAGTGTCAGCAACATGTGGAAGGAAGGGTCATGGGCACCCGTCGAAGACAATCCCAGAGTGCTCAGCCTGAGTGGACGGAGGGATGGGTTACGTTTCCCAGAAGTGGGGAAAGGGGAAGCCAGTGGCCGTGTGTCCAGATGCGCTCACTCACCTAGAGGTCTTTGTAACTTGTTCTCCACACTGACCGTACAGTTTCCATGCAGTTAGCCTTGTGAGAGCCTCTCTACCCAAGAAATTAGAACACACATGTGGGGGCGGGGGGTTAGCCTGTCCCCACTCGTTCTGGGTCAGGAATTAGAATCGGAGCGTCTGGCACAGATGCGTGCGAAACGAGGTGTACCCGTGCAAATCCCTATGTGTGCTTCCTCCCGCGGCCTGATACTGCATTCCCGCCAGAATGAAGCATCAGGTATTGCTCATGGGATGGTGTCACTCTCAGTCATGGGGTACTTATTCTTCAGAAATTCTAAGGCACAGATGAATGAAACACCCACTCCGCGTGATCATTGTTATAAATGAGCATTTTCTCCCTCTAAAGGGAAAAGCTACACAGGACAAGTCTTTGAAAGAAAAGACCCACCTCCTTTCCTCATATAGACACATGGGTTGTTCTGAGTCTTCCCAGACTTGCCAGTCCTCCTCTGGGTCCCAGCAGATTGTTTGGTAGCTGCCCTCCTGGTGCACACACGCACGCGCGCACACACACACACGTGTCCTATATGTGTGGCACCTTGCATTGTGTGTCTGAGGGGTTACCAGCCCGAGGCTCGCCCCGGGGCCCCGTTGGGAACCCCGTGCAGTAAACAGCCCTTAGCATGCCCGTCAGGGAGATCCTTCCAAGACAAGGCCGTCAGCAAAGGGATGAACATGCTCACTCCATGCAGGGCAGGTCTCGGAGGCAGAAAACACTTAAAATGTCAGTGAGAGACATTCTGGATAAGGCTCATGTTCCACAGGCCTGTCTGACTTCACGTCTCGCGCATCAGAACTTGGAACTCGTGGGAATTCAGAGAGGGAAAGTAGAAGATGGAAAATACTGATCACCTACGGCGTGAGACAAGGGAATGGACTTTAAAGCCCTTACATGTGTTTCGTTTTGTTTTGTCGTCCGTTCAGGCACTGTTGTCTCACATCGATTTCCAGCTGGTCCCTCGGGTGACGTGGCCTTCACTTCTCAGAGCCGAGCAGGGGGCGGCCAGGCTTGGCGCCGTGTCACGGTCGGGTATCACATGCAGCGTACGTCTTCACTCTGATTCCAGGCTTGTTAGGGTCCGTCGAGGTCACAAGGGCCCTGGAAAGCACCGGAGGCTGTGATTAGCTCCGCTGGGATTTGCATTTGTCCTTGAACCAGCTCGGTGTTGACCCGCAGTTCATTCTAGTGCTTTCTAGAAACCACATGCGTCCAGGCTTCGACCTGAAGGTGTGGGGTGGGTCACAGTGCAGAATCCTCTGCATGCCTCCGGCCCCATCCCGTGCTCTTTCGAGGAGAACTCACAGGGATGATCGGTCTCATTTTGTGAGCTATGGTGTGGCCTTTGATCTGGGGCCAGAATTGCCCAGCGGGTTCCCACTGCAGCCCTACATGTGGGCTGGGGACCCTCCCTCCCGGCCGTACTGTGTGGGAGGTGAGGGTGCTGGCGTCCCAGCACAGCCCCCGCCCTCCGCGCCAAAGCTTCTGTCTCTCTCCCACTCTCACAGCCGTCTCTGTATACACAAACGGAACTGTGTTTGCCACCGACACCCACATCACTTTTCTGGCTGTTACCGAGGAACTGACCCCCCTGGAGTTTGTGTGGTTGTTCGGAGAAGGTCCCCCCGTGAAGACAATGTCCAGGAGCATTAATAAAAGACTCAGCGTCCCCCAGTGGTGAGTAAATGGGAGTCATTTGGCCTTAGCTCGTCTGCAGATTCCCCAGCAGCCGCTCGAGTGATTTCGGAGCGCTCCTGTGAAAGGGAGGGATGCACACGGAAGGTTCAAGGATGACGAAGTCCCTCCCGCTTGAACTAGGGGCGGGCGTGGGGCTTTGGAACTGGCGATCCTGGGTTCAGATCCCCCCTCCTCCACCTAAGTCAGTCCCCATCCAAGCGAGGGTCACAGGGTGACCCTGCCGCTCTGCAGGTGACTGCGTAATGACAAGGGGGCGGTCCGGCGTCTCTGCCACTTCTCCCCAGAGTGGGGAACCATGAGGGCCAGGGATTCCCTGCAGATGAACTGTCTCGTCCCTCCCCTTCTTTCTTCGGGCTGCTCTCTACCTCTGACCTGCTCTTGTCCCCCACCTGCCCTCCCCGCCCCCTCGGCGGTCCCACCGCAGGTACAGCGTGACGGTGCAGGCTGCCAGTGGGCTGGGCAGCGTGGCCTCAGAGCCCTGCCGCATCAGGACGCAGAGGAGAATCGTCGCCAATCGGCTCGTGTCCCCCTCCTCAGCTCTGCTGAATGCCAGCGTGACCTTTGAGTGCAGACTCAACTTTGGCACCGACGTCACTTTCCTATGGGACTTCGGGGACGGCACCGTAGGCCCCGGGGACAGCTCTGCTAGTCACACCTACAGCAGGTGAGTGGCTCAGGCCAGGCACAGCTCTGCGGGGGGCGGCCGGAACGGCCTTTGCGAGGTGTGAGCTCCAGTTCTCCTCAGCCGACCTAGCAGTACATGCAGTTGGCAGATACTGAAGAGAGACAGATAAACGGACAGAGCACCAGGACACATGGACAGGGCTTTGGGACACAGTGTGGAGGGCAGACAGAGGTAGAAGGTGCTCGGAAGGACTGCCAAAGGCTCACTGTCCCCCTGACAAGCTTGGGCTGTGTCCTTTCATCTGGCATTTACTGAGCACCTGCTGTTTACCTGGAATCAAGCATTATGGAGATCCAAGCACAGCTGGGCCTGCCTGGGGGAGGCGGGCATGCCCACGGGAAGCCACCGGGGCAGACGTCAGGATCGCCACTGTCAAGGTCAGGAGGGTGACAAAGGGCAGGCCAGCCAGGTCTGAGCCTGAGCCTCCTCCCTGGCTGGAGGTGAGCCCTAGCCTTGGGCGCCTGGTTGCCGAGGCTGTGGAGACCTCTGGATGGAGCTGAGCCTCAGGCTGGCGTGGTGCCATTCGTGCTGCTGTGATGGACTAGTAACATGTACAGAAGGGCCCAGAAGCGAGGCCCCCATGGCCAGCAGCAGCAGGGAAACAGCAGATGTGCCTCAGCTCAGGACTTCCTCGAGAGCCACTGTGGCCTTGCCACGTGTGAGGACATGCCCGAATGGCCCCGTCACTGGCTCTCAACTGTGTGCCTTCTCCATAGGAGGTGGGGGTTCACGTGAGGAAGGAGTTAAGCGATGGTGCCCGAGTAGGCTCCCTCAGGTGGGCACCTGGGCCCGGGACCTGGGAATGTGCTCTGTGGCTCAGGGATGGACATGCACCGCTCTGCGCCCCTGCCTCATCTCTGGAGTTGTCCCAGGGCTCCCCAACCACCTGGACCCTGAGGGGACCCCACAGCCTGCGCTCTGGTCAGCGGGACTTGCCTTCCTTATGGACGCGCCCTGACAGCGGGTGGCGCTCTGGTCCTGAGCCTCAGGGAGCAGAGCAGGAAGATCATGCCCAGACTTCCCAGTTGAGGGGCCTGGGTGCCCATCAGCCCGTGGTGCACAGAGGGGCCAGGCCATGGCCGGCGGGAGGTGTCCCCAACGGAATGATTGTTTCTCCATCAGCAGGTGACATTGGCCTGGGAGCTGGGCATCTGGCTCGCCCTGCACTGGGTGGGCAGCCGGCATATTAACTGGGCAGCAGATGGCCCCTGTGGACACCAACCTCATGACCTGTGTGTCCTCTGTTCTCACGGATGGGCTATCTGGCCAGCGAGTCCTCTAATGACGCAGGTGGGGGAGGAGAGGCAGATGCCTGGCGGGCTGGGTGTCTTTATTCCTGTGTGCTGTGGCCCTCGCAGGGAAGGACAGTTCACCGTCCAGGTACTTGCCTTCAATGATGTCAGCACCACCTCCCTGAGAAAGCAACTGTTCATCGTGCAGGAGCCCTGCCAGCCGCCCCCTGTGAAGAACATGGGGCTGGGGAAGGTGCAGGTAGGGCCGGGCCTGGGGGTCGTCTCAGCGCTGGGAACGGCGGGGCTCCGGGGGCCGGGGTCCTGCTGCACTGGACGCGAGGGGGCGCCTCTCGGGGCTTCTGAGGGCCCTGGCGCCGAGGTGGAGGGCGGGCCTCGTCCTGGCCTCCAAGGGGCCTTATTGGCCTCCGTCACTCTGGTGTTCTGTTCGGCCTGCTTTGAGGAAATGTTTAGAAATTGCTTGTGGAGGCTGGCCTGGGGGGCTCAGTTGGTTCAGTGTCTGCCTTCGGCTCAGGTCATGATCCCGGGGTCCTGGGATCGAGCCCCGCATCGGGCTCCCTGCTCCGTGGGAAGTCTGCTTCTCCCTCTCCTTCTGCCTCTCCCCCTGCTCGTGCTCTCTCTCCCTCAAATAAATAAATTAAAAAAAAAATGGCTTGTGCAAAGCACTCAAGCATTTTTAGGAGAAAGGAATGTTTGGATTCATGTGATGTCAACTTCCAAAGACATGATCAGTCTCCTCCCGAGCGCCTACTATGGGTTAGGAAACAGAGGGTGGCATTTTCCTTCTTTTGTTCCTTTGAGGCCTCTGGGTTAGAGCAGGTTTCCCTTTTTGGGGCAGAAGTGTCCATGACACATGGGGATCAAAGCCGGGACTCTGCATTTCCAGACTTCGTTCTGTGCCTTCCATCACCAGAGGCACGTGCTGGGCCTCTGACCAGGGTCTGCGGTCGGGCACCTCCCGCCCCAGATGAGGGTGGGGCTCGGGGGGCACACGGAAGAGCCCCCAGGGCAAGGCCCGGGTGGTTCCTGGCCATATGGGTCCTGTGGGACAGTGACGGCCCCTTATGGGCAAGACCTAGGCCCCCGCTATGCCAGCATGCACCTGCACAGGCAGGGGGCTCTCTGGGTTGGGGAGACGGACAAAACATCAAGGGGGACCCCAGCATGGAGACTGGGAGCGGCCTGGACCCAGGGGAGAGGGGTCCGTGCTTAAATCCTGGCTCTGCTCTTAGGTCGAGGCACCGGACGGGGCTTGTCGCTGGTTAAGCGTGACCCAGGGGGGTCATCCGTGGCATGTGGTCCAAAGTATTGATGGCTCTGTGACCTGGGGTTCTGTTCTAAAAGGAATAGCCTTCCTCCATCCTCCACCCTCATCCCTCCTCCCCCTGCCCCCTCATCCCTCC